CACAAAAACATTGAGATATGCATTTATTCATTTAATTTTGGTGCATGTTTTGAAAGGCCACATTCAACATTTTTGTACACCAATCGATGTTCTAAATCAAAATTCTAAAACATAAATATTGAAGATCATATTAAAATCTTAGATAATAACAAATAATGCAATTGGTGACATTTTTTCATTGTTTTAAGATTATTAGAAAAAAAACCCACAAACTTGTATTTTTTCTGAATTTGTAATTACCTAAGTGTAGTTACAGGATGAGAGCTAGCTCGTGGTGTCCCGTCTTCCCAGCACTCTTTGTCATATAACGCTTTGAAGCTACTGACGGTCTTGGCCTCAACCACCTTCTCACTTAACTTGTTCCAACCGTCTACCACTGTTTGCGAAAGTGAATTTTCTTATATTTCTTCGGCATCTTTGTTCAGTTAGTTTAAATCTATGACCTCTTGTTCTTGACGTTCCAGGTCTCAGGAAAACTTCCCTATTGATTTTATCAATTCCTGTTACCATTTTGTACGTAGTGATCATATCACCTCTTTTTCTCCTGTCTTCTAGTTTTGGCATATTTAATGCCTCTAACCTCTCCTCGTAGCTCTTGCCCTTCAGTTCTGGGAGCCGCTTAGTAGCATGTCTTTGCACCTTTTCCAGTTTGTTGATGTGCTTCTTAAGATATGGGAACCACACAACCGCTGCACATTCTAGCTTTGGCCTAACAAAAGTCGTAAACAATTTCTTTAGTATTTCGCCATCCATGTATTTATGAGCAATTCTGAAGTTAGAAAGCGTGGCATAGGCTCCTCGCACAACATTCTTCATGTGGTCCTCAGGTGATAGTTTTCTATCTAGAACCACCTCTAGATCTCTTTCTGTATCAGAATTCTTTAAAGATATTTACAGTGGCACCTCGATTAACGAGTTTAATCCGTTCTGGCACCGAGCTCGTTATGTGGAAAACTCATTTTAAGAAACAAATTTCCCCATTTAAAATAAAGGAAATAAATTTAATCCGTTCCACTCCCAAAAACATCCATACTTGTATGACATTTTATAATGTAAATATAATACTGCACATGTAATTATAAATGTTTTGTTGTACTGTTTTCATGTTTACTTTACCTTATGAAGAGTCGTTGCTGGCTTGAGGGAGACGATGGGGAGGTGGGAAGGAGGAGAGGGGTTATGGTGTGGAAGGAGAATCCACCTCTGAGTCAGGCGGGCTCTCTCTTCTTGGGAATTTCACCCCACTGGGACCGGGTTGTGGTTCACTATCACTGGCTCTTCTTTTCTCTACTTTTGCAAAGAATGTATCTATTGACAAGTGCTTTTGTCTTTGTTTTAGGATGTTCCTAAAACGAGACAGCAAATTGTCATTAAACATGTTCACACACCGGGTTGTCACTGCTTTATCAGGGTGATGCTTTTCCAAGAATGCGGTCACCTTTTCAAACATTCCCAACACTTCCCTGATCTCACTGGAAGAGGCAGCATCCTCCCTTACCTCCTCATCCCCTTACTAATGGTGCAAATTGTTGATGAGGACCTGCCATACTCCCTTGTGAGATCAGTCACACAGACACCACGCTCATGCTTTGCTATAATTTCCTTCTTCAAATCCACAGTAATTGTGTCTTTCTTCCTCTTGACAACACTATCTTTAGCAAGCAGCTTCTTTGGCAACATCGTGCGTTACAAATTGTAGTCACAAAACCACAAAAAACAAACAAAGAAAAGCACAAATAAATGCAGAGGGATGCTTGTCATGCACGATACAACAACAACACTGGCGTCGGAGGCATCCAAGAATTTGCGAGAACCTGCGAGATGCTAAGAAGCACCATGTGGTTTTGCTCGTTAATAGAGGTGAAGCTCGTCAATAGAGACAAATTTGCTGCGAGTGGCTCGCTCGTTACTCGAAATGCTCGTAGATAGAGCCGCTCGTTAATCGAGGTGCCACTGTATGAACAGTTCGACGATGCTGGAAAACTTAGGGCAGTGTTACATGGTACATCTGGCAACAACCTGCACATTGTCAACAGCTCTGCCATAATGTTCAAGCAACGCCACATGCTCTGGTGTCAGGTTCAGATAAGATCTTACTGAATTACTGCTTTCTAGCCCAATGAAATGGGCCGAAATGATCCTAAAAGAAAGTACGTGACTCGTCTCCACATGTTGCTTAAAACATGACAAATAAACAAATACATGACCATTTGAAATATGGTTAACTTATCCACTAAAATGTGTAGTTTTATGTAGGAGTTGGGCAGCAATTATGTATTACTGTATATATATATGTATTATAATCATACAACCAAAATATATTTTGGTTTACACGTAATTTGTAATCCAAATTACTCGTAATTTGAAATGGCAAACTTGACTTTAGATATCTTACATATCTTATAAAACATATCTTACCATCCCCCAGCATGTTTGTTATGACCCTGGGTTCCTCAGTGGAAACCAGAGGTCAAAATTGAGCAATTAAACTTTTTTATAGTATAGTTGGGCGCATCACGAGCTGCAATTGTTTGCATCTTCCCTGCCAGACATAAGACTATTCTTGTTTCTCAAAGAGCATTTAAAGACTGAGCTTGGGGTTGATTATTAAATAATAACATAGGCACCAACTATGTTTACTAATAATTTCTAATCATTTGTAAAGTAAACCTGAGTAAACTTGGTATAGGGCTGCGGTACGATTAGTTGAGCAGTCTGCCGGCAGCGAGCCAGCTGGGGGGAAGGAGACTGAGACTCGTTCTTTTTCTGAGCTGGCGTTGGGTGGATAGGATCCTCCTACCCTTCCTCCTCGTTTCCTTATTTCTGTGTCTTGTTCAAGCTAAGTATATACTGTGTACATTATTCAATTTCTGGCATACACGTGTTCTATGTGTAGAGTAGTAAACTTTGTGTGTAGTAGGTGTTTTTAGAGTTTATATTACTAGTTATTCTAAAGGGGGTCCCAGTGGAACCACGTGGTTTCCCTACCCTAAGCTGACTCTAGCTTCAAGTGTTTCCATAGTAGAACTTTACCCTAGCTTGTGTTCAGTGTAAAACCTTGCGTCCTGCTTTAATGGACCAAGGCTTTTAACGTAAGATAGTGTGGTAAAGTTATTATTGTTTTTGTTATTGGTGTGAATGTATATGGGGGGTTGTTAAGGGGTTAATAAATAAGTAAGTGAAGTAAGGGAGTTTCAGTTCTTTCCTGTGTAGGAGATCTTAAATCAACCTCTAGACTGACCTTGTGTGTAGCCAAGTATTCAGCACTGCTTATAGTTTTATTTGGGGGCCGGGCCTTTTAGATCTCCCATTTTGATAACTCTTAATGCTTACTATTGCCCCTACATCCAGATAATACTAGGCCCCATAGTACAGACACTCCTTTATTTAACAATGTTTCAAAAACATCTTCGCGTAAGAATAATCTTCTGGTTCATGCTGGAAGATTATTCACAAATGCAAATTTATTCGTAACATACTAGTTAATCTACGTCTCGTGCCAACCTCCCAACCTGCTACAGCGCGAACACGTAACAAATAAGAATTTACTTCGTAAGTTACTAGTTAATCCACATCACATGCAAACCTCACACAATAGAGGTATCGGGCCTCAATAAACATCACCTCCGACAGAGACGACACAGACACTGGGGCACGTACAGTAATATGATCGGAAATAAATCCGATAAATAAATAAATAAATTTAATGCCATTTAAATAAATTTAGGCAATAAATCCTCAAATCAAATAAATCTCAGGATAAATAATACCCAAATTTGTAACAAAATAGATGGCAAATTCCTTGGCGTTCTCATTGACCGCAAGCTGAATTTCCCGAAACACATTCTAAATATATAAAAAAAAGTTTCAAAAACTGTTGGCATTCTTTCAAAGATCAGATATTATGTACCTCACCCTACCCTGGTGACGCTCTATTACTCCCTCATTTATCCTTATCTCAACTATGGTATTTGTGCTTGGGGTTCTACTACCCAAAATCATTTACATCCTCTAATTACTCAACAAAAAACTGCTATTAGGACAATATCCAACTCTGGCCCCAGACATCACTCGGTACCCCTACTCAAGTCTCTGAATATGTTAGATATTAAGTCACTGCACATCCTCTCATGTGTATTTTATATATATAAAATGCTGAACTGTACTGTGAATCCTAACCTTAAAAGCTTCCTAGAAGGTTGTAACAGAACCCATGAGCACCACACCAGAAATAAATACAGTTTTGATATTCCTAGAGTACGACTTAATCAAACTAGAAATGCTCTACAAATCAAGGGACCCAGAATGTGGAATGACCTTCCCAACCATGTTAAAGACTGTACCTCTCTCAACCAGTTTAAGATAACAACTAAGCACTACCTAATTAACTCCCTGTAACCTACCTTACCCCTATAATGTCCACCCATGTCTGTTATTTTGAAACAATGCTGTTTGTCGACCAAATTGTATTTTTTGTTTTTCTGTCATGTTCCCCCCTTTTTATTCTTATATTTACTCAACACATTTTTATACTTTAATCTCAATTAGTATTAAGTTTTAGTCTTTAGTGTTTTTCCTGCCCGAAACGCTTTGCGTAATAGTGGCTTTAGGCATTGTATGTACTAGCTCTATTTATAAATCCATCAATATTTGTATCACCCCTTGTATGTATGTACTTTACCTGAATAAACATTTGAATTTGAATTTTTAAAGGAACTATCAGGAGAAAGCGCCAAACCATTGTGACTATATACCACTGGAAAGGAATCAGGATTTGGGATGGGACGGGGGGAAGGAATGGTGCCCAACCACTTGGACGGTCGGGGATTGAGCGCCGACCTGCATGAAGCGAGACCGCTGTTCTACCGTCAAGCCAAAGTTGTTGGGCTGACTGAGGCCAAAAGGTAACTTGCCGACCATACAACTTGACAACTCACCTGTCGGTCAACACGTAAACAAACACAACCAACAGCCGGAGACACACTCCGGGATGTACTTACACGCTCTCTTGGCCGCCGAGATTAAGGTGTGTGAGGTCATATGTGAGGGCGAGTGTGAGGAGACGCACTCTGGCAGTGAGGACGAGTGTGAAGAGACGCACTCTGGCAGTGAGAGCGAGCGAGGAGACGCACTCTGGCAGTGAGAGCGAGCGAGGAGACGCACTCTGGCAGTGAGAGCGAGCGAGGAGACGCACTCTGGCAGTGAGAGCGAGCGAGGAGACGCACTCTGGCAGTGAGAGCGAGCGAGGAGACGCACTCTGGCAGTGAGAGCGAGCGAGGAGATGCACTCTAGCAGCGCGGGAGTGCGAGGAGATGCACTCTAGCAGCGCGGGAGTGCGAGGGGACAGACTCTAGCAAGGCGGGAGTGCGAGGGGACACACACTAGCAGTGTGAGGAGGGCGCCTCACACTAACATGTGTTGCTCAAGCCTCTCACCTCCTGGTTTGTTGTGGTCGCCCAGGGGGACGCGCCCTCGTGCACGCCACGCTCTCTTGACGTACCTCTCCCACACGCTCTCTTGACGTACCTCTCCCACACGCTCTCTTGACGTACCTCTCCCACACGCTCTCTTGACGTACCTCTCCCACACGCTCTCTTGACGTACCTCTCCCACACGCTCTCTTGACGTACCTCTCCCACACGCTCTCTTGACGTACCTCTCCCACACGCTCTCTTGACGTACCTCTCCCACACGCTCTCTTGACGTACCTCTCCCACACGCTCTCTTGACGTACCTCTCACACACGCTCTCTTGACGTACCTCTCGCACACGCTCTCTTGATGTACCTCTCGCACACGCTCTCTTGACGTACCTCTCGCACACGCTCTCTCGACGTACCTCACACACGCTCTCTTGACGTACCTCTCACACACGCTCTCTTGACGTACCTCTCGCACACGCTCTCTTGACGTACCTCTCCGTACCTCTCCCACACGCTCTCTTGATGTACCTCTCACACACGCTCTCTCGACATACTTCTCCCACACGCTCTCTTGACATACCTCTCCCACACACTCTCTTGACATACCTCTCGCACATGCTCTCTTGACGTACCTCTCGCACACGCTCTCTTGACGTACCTCTCTCACACGCTCTCTTGACCTACCTCTCGCACACGCTCTCTTGACGTACCTCTCCCACACGCTCTCTTGACATACCTCTCACACACGCTCTCTTGACGTACCTCTCGCACACGCTCTCTTGACGTACCTCTCGCACACGCTCTCTTGACGTACCTCTCGCACACGCTCTCTCGACGTACCTCACACACGCTCTCTTGACGTACCTCTCACACACGCTCTCTTGACGTACCTCTCGCACACGCTCTCTTGACGTACCTCTCACACACGCTCTCTTGACGTACCTCTCGCACACGCTCTCTTGATGTACCTCTCACACACGCTCTCTTGACGTACCTCTCCCACACGCTCTCTTGATGTACCTCTCACACACGCTCTCTCGACATACTTCTCCCACACGCTCTCTTGACATACCTCTCCCACACACTCTCTTGACATACCTCTCGCACATGCTCTCTTGACGTACCTCTCGCACACGCTCTCTTGACGTACCTCTCTCACACGCTCTCTTGACGTACTTCTCGCACACGCTCTCTTGACGTACCTCTCGCACACGCTCTCTTGACGTACCTCTCCCACACGCTCTCTTGACGTACCTCTCGCACACGCTCTCTTGACGTACCTCTCACACACGCTCTCTTGACGTACCTTTCGCACACGCTCTCTTGACGTACCTCTCGCACACACTCTCTCGATGTACCTCTCACACACGCTCTCTTGACGTACCTTTCGCACACGCTCTCTTGACCTACCTCTCGCACACGCTCTCTTGACCTACCTCTCGCACACGCTCTCTTGACCTACCTCTCGCACACGCTTTCTTCAAATTCAAATTGAAATGTTTACTTAGGTAAAGTACATACATACATGAGGTTATACAAAAATTGATGGATTTATAAATAGAGCTAGTACATACAATGCCTAAAGCCACTATTACGCAAAGCGTTTCGGGTAGGAAAAACACTAAAGACTAAAACTTAATACTAATTGAGATTAAAGTATAAAATGTGTTGAGAACAAATAAAAATAAAAAGAGGGGAACATGGCAGAAAAAGCAGCACAAATACAATTAGGTCGACAAAAACGTTGTTTAAAAAATAACAGACATGGGTTGACAATATAGGGGTAAGGTAGGTTACAGGGAATTTATTAGGTAGTGCTTAGTTGTTATCTTAAACTGGTTGAGAGAGGTACAGTCTTTAACATGATTGGGAAGGTCATTCCACAATCTGGGTCCCTTGATTTGTAGAGCATTTCTACTTTGATTAAGTCGTACTCTTGGAATATCAAAAAGGTATTTGTTTCTGGTGTGATGCTCATGGATTCTGTTACAACCTTCAATGAAGCTTTTAAGGTCAGGATTGGCACTACAGTTCAGCGTTTTATATATATATATATATATATATATATATATATATATATATGTATAGTATATACTTTTTGGCCTACTATGCAAGGCCCGATTTGCCTAATAAGCCAAGTTTTCCTGAATTAATATATTTTCTCTAATTTTTTCTTATAAATGATAAAGCTATTTATTATAATATATATTAAAATTATAGATATATGATAACCTATAACCCTATAACCTATATATTTATAGGTTATTATATTAGGTATATTATATAGTAAAAACAATTATATGAAAACTTGGCTTATTATTTTGCCATGCATAGTATATAAGTGATATATATATATATATATATATATATATATATATATATATATATATATATATATATATATATATATATATATATATATATATATATATATATATATATATATATATATATATATATATATATATATATATATATATGACAATGTCAGACCACGGAGGAAAATGAAACAGGAATTTCCTTAAGTACTTTCGTATATTAAATACATCTTCAGAAGGAATGATTTTACAGATCGAGTGATGGGTATAAATAGGCAGGAGAGAGTGGTGAAGTGAGGTGAGGTACAATACTTGGACAACGCAGACGGCCCATTGGCCCATCAGATGCACCCAATTGGCCCATCCGATGTAGCCCAATGGCCCATCTGATACAGCAGACATACAAGCATAATACATAGGTAATTATAACATAAAGAGGTAAATATATACAATGAATTAGTGAGACAAATGTTTTTCAATGATCCTACTTAAATCGCCCTTTAGCTGATCTATTAGAAATGGATCTAAGTTATATAGACCACTGCTAATATTCAAATTACTTTCTTTGGTGATCTGTATCAAAGCAGATTCAATTATGTTTCTGTTATAGGTGCTTTTACAATTTGTTATTGAAGAAGCACTCTCCCAATCAATTTGGTGAGCTTTTTCTGACAAATGCACAAACAAAGCATTAGACAATTGGCCATGTCTTACAGAGTATTTATGTTGCGATATTCTACATTTTAAATCTTTAGATGTTTGCCCGACATAGAACTTATTACATTCCTTACAAGGTATTTTATAAATGACGCAATTATCACTACGAGGGCTGTTCCTTACTAATAGCTTACCAACAGTGTTTTCGTAGCTAAACATTACATCTATATTAAAAAGTTTCAAGGCCTTGACAATATTCTCAAACCCAGAGAAATATGGTAAACATAACACATTCTTTGGGCGAATCCTTTCACTGCATACATTATTATAATATGTACGACGAGCTTTGTTACGACAAACTTCCAAAAAATTCAGTGGGTAACAAAGCTTAAGACCAATCGAATCAATATTCTTAAATTCTTCGTCTAAGAATTCTGGACTCACAACTCGAAGAGCTCATTCATTCATTATATATTCATTCATAACCTTATCATTCTGGGGTTACTGGACCCCTGGCACCTTATCATCCTGGGGGTCACTGGACCCCTGTCACCTTATCATTCTGGGGTCACTGGACCCCTGGCACCTTATCATCCTGGGGTCACTGGACCTCTGGCACCTTATCATCCTGGGGGTCACTGGACATCTGGTACCTTATCATCCTGGGGGTCACTGGACCCCTGGCACCTTATCATCCTGGGGGTCACTGGACCTCTGGCACCTTATCATTCTGGGGTCACTGGACCCCTCATCCTCCTTGGGTCACTGGACCCCTGGCACCTTATCATCCTGGGGTCACTGGACCCCTGGCACCTTATCATCCTGGGATCACTGCACCCCTAACACCTTATCATTCTGGGGTCACTGGAACCCTGATAGTTTATCATCCTGGGGTCATTGAACTCCTGGCACCTTATCATCTTGGGGTCACTGGATCCCTGGCACCTTATCATCCTGGGGTCACTGGACCCCTGGCACCTTATCATTCTGGGGTCACTGGACCCCTGGCACCTTATCATCCTGGGGTCACTGGACCCCTGGCACCCTATCATTCTGGGGTCACTGGGCCCCTGACAGCTTATCATCCTGGGGTCACTGGACCCCTGGTACCTTATCATCCTGAGTATTAAGGCACCCCCTGGTGCCTTATTATCCTGGGGTCACTGGACCCCTGGCACCTTATCATCCTGGGGGTCACTGGACCCCTGGCACCTTATCATCTTGGGGTCACTGGATCCCTGGCACATTATCATCCTGGGGTGATTGAACCACCTGGCACCTTATCATCCTGGGGTCACTGGACCCCTGGCACCTTATTATCTTGGGGTCACTGGACCCCTGGCACCTTATCATCCTGGGGTCACTGGACCCCTGGCACCTTATCATCCTGGGGGTCACTGGACCCCTGGCACCTTATCATCTTGGGGTCACTGGACCCCTGGCACATTATCATCCTGGGGGTCACTGGACCCCTACTGACACCTTATCGTCTTGGGGTAACTGGACCCCTGGCACCTTATCATCCTGGGGTAACTGGACCCCTGGCACTTTATCATCGTGGGGTCACTGGACCCCTGGCACCTTATCATCCTGGGGTAACTGGACCCCTGGTACCTTATCATCCTGGGGTAACTGGACCCCTGGCACCTTATCATTCTGGGGTAACTAGACCCTTGGTACCTTATCATCCTGGGGTCACTGGACCCCCGTGACACTTTATCATCCTGGGGTCACTGGACCCCTGACACCTTATCATTCTGGGGTCTCTGGACCCCTGACAGCTTATCATCTTAGGGTCACTGGACCCCCTGATATCTTATCCTAGGGTCACTGGACCCCTGGCACCTTATCATCCTGGGGTCACTGGACCCCTGGCACCTTATCATCCTGGGGTCACTGGACCCCTTGGTACCTTATCATCTTGGGGTAACTGGACCCCTGGCACCTTATCATCCTGGGGTCACTGGACCCCTTGGTACCTTATCATCTTGGGGTCACTGGACCCCTGGCACCTTATCATCCTGGGGTCACTGGACCCCTGGCACCTTATCCTGGGGTCACTGGACCCCTTGGTACC